AAGGCCCTCTATGAGATGGATTGATTCAGTGACTGGGATAATTGGGATGGGAGTGTCAGAGACAGTGCGATTGGCACAGGACAGAGCGGAGTTTAGGGCCATTGTACACAGAGGGTCGCTATGAGTCGCAAGCGACTCGACGGCACATAACAACAACAACAAGTTAAAAATGGCTAAAATGAATATACATATATAAGAAATCAAGCACTATGGATATAGTATCTCTGAAGTATCCCGCCCAAGGCCACAGCAGCAAGCTGTGGATTAGAGAGCTCATCTAAGGCTCACTTTCCCCATGTGTGTGGTTCTGTCAGACACTAGGGGCACTAGGGTCATCTGTTGGGAGCGGATTGCTAGCCTAAAGGTGGCACCTCTCTGGCAGGTGGAACCCATCAGAGGCTCCACAGCAGGAAGATGGCCAATCTCCTTCTTTTGGATTTATAGCCTCAGAAACTCAACGGAGGCTCAGCTAAAGAAACTTCTGATCCAATGGCAATGAGTTTGAGTTTGAAGGTAAGGAAGCAGTGGATCCTGACCTTTCTACTGCTTGTAGCAACAAGAGCACCTGCTTCAGGAGCCTAGCACTGAAAGCATGTGGGCCTGTGGGAGAAGATCCTACTTCTGCCTCCTGCCATGCCCCATGGGGTCTGCATGACTGGCCCCTTCCCTAAACTGTGGGTAGAGGGCCGTGAGGGATACAGCTGGCCGTACCTGCAGGCTGGTGGCCTCCTCCGCCCACCAGGCTTCAAACTCCTTCTGCAGCTTCACCTTCGCTTTGTCCATGAGCAGCTGCAAGTGCTCAATCTCCACCTTCAGGGCTTTCAGGTGAGCGAAATTTGTTTTATATCTACGATGAAATCAGAGGAAGGTCAGTGTGCTGCTTTCTTGAAAGGACAGTCACCTACAGAGAGGGAGGGGCAGTGCTGCCCTGGTGCTCGGAGGGCTGGGACAATATTGGTGCTCTCTGAGGCACTGGGGTTTAAGTCCATCAGAGAGATGCAAAGCCGGACCCTTCTATTCGACCCATGGGGCTCTGTGTGTGCTGTAGCAACCCTTCTCCAATAGCTATGGCTGCTATTTATTAAGTACTTATTAAAAGGTAGACATTCTTCTAGGTACTTGGCACGTCTGAATGAATTTAATCCTTTCCTACAGCCCTGTGAAGATATTAATTTTTTTCATACCTATTTTACAGATTTGGAAGCTGACGACTAATAAAGAGAGGAGCTGAAATTTAAAACTCAGGCTGACTGGCTTTAGAACCCACAGTGTTGCAGTTTCGTCCTCATGCTGAGCACCAAATGTCCAATATGTTTGTTAATATGTATGTGCGGTTTGGGGATACTGTCATTGATGAATCAGAAGTCATCTGATTGGAAACAGTTAAATAGAAAACTGAAGAGACAATGTGGCTTCTGAGATGCTCCTTAGGTGGAGAGTGGACATGACAGAATTAAAGAGGGAAAAAAAAATGAATGGGTTGGGAAAAGCAGAAAGATATACAGAGTGGAGAAAAAGGCAGACAACTGGGGAACGTCTCCACAAAGCAGGACAATAGTGAGTGTCCAGGAGGGAAGTACAGGGCATTCTGGGAGAGGAGGATGCTGGCAGGAGATGACAGAGCGCAAGCATAATTACCAGAAAATGACCAGATTAACTGAGCAGACATCTTTGTCTTCCTCAAGTATGAGGGCAGGGGTGTGAGAGGTGGTTTGCCCAAGCTACAATCTAGAGTAAAGTGTGTTGAGATGACCATTAGCTCCTTGAAGGCATGGAAAGTAATCGGCTTGGTTTCTCCAGCATCTGTATGATGCATGGAGGAGATTTCAAACATTTGCTGCATGCATAAATGAATGAAGGTGGTTGATGGGAGAGTTACGGGCGATTCTGTGAATCAGAAATGGGCATATACTTATTTATACTGATGTTCCTCACTCTGCAAGTAAGACCGCTTTGGGATCTTACATGACGGCACGAGTGTCTGATGGCTTCATGACGCTATAGATGAGGAGGTTCAGAAGAGAAGTAGGGTAAAGCTGCAGATCTAAGGAGAGCACTGTGGTCATACTTCCTGACTCCTCTAGGTGGCAACAGAACACAATTCTAACTCCTGGGCGCTGGAGCAGGACGTGGGTGCAAACAACTAAAAACCTCCCTGATACTTGAATGGTGGCCGCTCTGGGCCTGGCGTGGCCCACTGCTCCAGCTCCATTCCAATCTCATGCGGCCCAAGGTTCCTACGTTCCACATGCCTGTCCAAAGGCAGACCCCTCCTGATCCTGCTAGTTGAGGATCCAGCTGGAGGATCCATTTCCCTCAAATAACTGCTGCCCTGGGCCAGAGCTTGGCCACTCTGCCCCCACCCTGGGCAGCTCCAGTGACCACTGGCTGGTGCTATGGGGCGTGGGTCAGGGTGTGTGCAGCAAGAAGGAAGGGAACCTTTGCTTTTCCTCCTCTAGTTGTGCTCGCAGCTTCTCTTCCAGCGCGTCTGGCACTGAGGCTGTAGTCATGTTTCCTGAGATGCCTGTAAGGAAAGAGAAGCTTGAGTTACTCCAAAGAGGGTGGAAGGCAAAAGGAAAAGTGAGCTAGTTGGAACAGATAACAAAGTGCACCCCGAGATTACAGTTATGTTAAGCACCACCGATTTGGGACTGACCCATAGTGGACCCACTAGAGAGTTCTCAGAGGCAGCGAATCACATGGGAAGAGACTGCTCGTCCATCAGAGGAGCCGGTGAACTCAAACCTAGTGCCTTTGGGTTGGCAAAACAACTCCTTATCACTAAGCCCCAGAATTCCCCTAAGATGACAGGGAACTTGTGAATTCCTTTGGGAGCTTTCAGACAAGAACTTGTTTTAGTCTCCCGAGTGCTAATCTCTACTGCTGTCTTCCCTCAGCGGACCCTTCCTGTGTCTAATTTCTGTTCCCAGAGGCAGAGTCTCCGTACATGACTACTATATCCCTTCAGAATTGACATCCCTTGTTTCTGCTGGCATCCCCAGGGAAGGTGCAAAATAATATTTTCCTATCCCCTGATAAATAGCCCTTCACAAACCAAGAAACATCACTAAAATGCCCTATATCTTTCTTTGCACCAGTTGAAGTGATAAATTTTCTCGCCTCAAAATCATGTCTCTTGATATTTACTTCCCTCTAATATAATAGTTCTCAAGATGATTTAACCTTAAAATGCTTGACAAGTTAAAACAACAGTTACAACAAAAACCAAAACTCTACCCATATCTATAGATTCTGGTTCAATATGGCCAGGGCAGGGAGCGGCAATGGTGGCTGTTGTTAGGTGTTGTCAAGTTGACTATGACTCAAAGAGACCCTATGAACAACAGATTTGAACCCTGTCCTATCCTGTGCCGTTCTCATCATCATCAACATACTTGACCCTTGTCACTGTATCAATCAATCAATCAATCACATTGAGGGTCTTCCTCTCTTTTACTGACCCTCTCCCTTTCCAAGCATAATATCTCTTTCCAAGGAATAGCTTCTCCTAACAACAAGCAGAAAGTTTTTGAGATGAAGTGCTGCCATCCTTGCCTCCAAGGAGCACTCTAGAAAATGGTAGTTTGTGAAAATATCGTCTGTTGTTGTTATTGTTATGTGTCGCCTGCAACTCATAGCAACCCTATGTTCAACAGCTCTGAACCCTGCTCTATCCTGAGCCAAACTTACTGTCTCCGACACACCTACCCCCATCACCCCAGTCACTGAGTCAATCCATCTCATCGAGAGTCTTCCCCAAGTTATGCTAATAAGCAACAAGAGCGCAGAACTACATTCAGTTGCCTCCTGCTCCCCAATAAGACTTGGGTACAGTCTAGGGGGGAGGTTTTGGGGAGGGGACCGCCTGTGGGAAGCAATCAGTTGGTGGCTGTCTCTTCTATTCCCACTGACACCTGCCATGGTTGGGCCTCCATAGATACCTAATTGCCTGTGCTGGCTTGGTGCTTGTTTGGAGCCAGTGCTCCACCAGTGGCCTCTTTATCTGCTTAGGAGTCTTTTGTGGAGGAGCACTGACTTTCTCGGCATCATAGAAGGCATCGTGGAAGCCATACAGCTCTGCTTATGATTCATGAAGGCAAAATGGCCTGGAGTACTCTCCAGAGATGATCACACTTAATCCTTCTTCTACTCACTGAAGGTAAATACTATTATTTATATTTTACCTATAAGGTCAATGAGGCTCAAAGATGTTCACCTACTTAAGGCCACACAGCTTGCTTCAGGAAGCCAGCTTCGAATCCAGGTTTGTTTGGTTTTTAAGGGCTCTGGGTCTGGAATTTCTTTCTGTAATATTTCTGACAGATGTCTGCTCAAGCACTTGCAGTGAGGAAGTATGCTAATTTGAAAGACAGCACAATTCATCTTGGGCATCTTTGTTTTCCCTTACGTTGAGACCTGACCCAGTATTCTCCATTGATTTCTATTCTGGCTTTTTGGAATCACATAGTATATCTTCCATCCCCCTTTTAAACATAATGTCTCTTTCAAAAACAGGGTACCATGTGTCTGGTGTTTTATTTTCAGGCTACCTCTTCTCAGTCATCTTGTCTGAGGTCTCTGTGGTATGGTTTCTAGATGTCTGTCAGCCTGTTTACATGCCAATTTTTCTTAAGTATAGAGCCTAGGACTAGACACAATACTGCCGGTAGGTCTGAGAAGGACAGAATAGAGGGGAACCCCACCTTACTTTTAAAACTTTTAATTCTACTTTTTCATAGCAAAGGAATTACTAACAATGACTTTTTCTGAGTGTCTTCCACATGCTAAGTTCTGCCAAGTTACTGAATACTCACCTTACTGCTAATTCTCAAAATTTCCATCTCATTTCACTTAAATTATTCTAAGACTCACAGAGGGTTCTAATAACCCAAAATCACACACATAATAAGTGGCAGAGATGAGATTTGAAGCCCAAATTTTCTAGTCCAAAGAGCTAAATTTTAACATCAGGCAGCATTCTCAAATCTGCTGTTAACATGTTGGTAGCTTTGCTATGATTGGCCTCTGTTAAATTTGTGGTTTGTTTAAACACTTACATATATTTTTTCTGAGTGATTATCAAAACACATCTGATTTCGGTATGATTGTCTTCTTGATCTGAAACACAGCACTCAACGTTCACTGGAACTGTAGCCTGCTGAGAGGTCCTTACTCTTTCACGCTGCAATGCCTTCCCCTTTGGCTTCCTTGACACTCTGTTAAGTATGCTTTTCATCTTGATCTCTAACTCACTGGCGTATATCTAACTCTTTGATGACTATGGTGTGTCTGATCCTAGCCTTGTTCTTCCCAATTGCCTTATATGAATGTGATAGCTGGCCAATGAGGGAAAAAGAAAACTTGATGGAGAAAGAATGGATGTGAACTGTAGTATTAAGTGGATCAGAATTCTGACCTTGTCTTCCAGGCACCTGTTACACATTCTCCCAAACAGTGTCACTTGAAAACTAACTGAGCAAATGTCATCTTGTCATCGAATCCTAAGAGATGTGGAGAAGATAGACTTTCCAGCTGAAGACAGCACACTAGCACAGTCAGGTGAATTTCCTGGCTCTAATGAGCCAGCCTGTCTACCCATTACCCATCATCCTGATAGGGAAGCCCTTGAGCAGGGACTGGCTCCCTCTGCCCTTTTATCTTCCTATAACGCTTTGTTCAGGCTCCACAAGAAAGGTATGCTCAATGTTATAAATGTTTGCTGGGCTTTGCCCTCCTTGAAAATGTCAGCTGTGACAAACTGAAGGAAGTCTCTTAATGTCAAAGTGACAATAACATGATTTCAAATGTACAGAATATTTCCTCTCTTTAAAGTATCCCAAATGGGCAAATGTATCTTGCAACCCATTAAAAAAAAGAAGCTGTGAATCTTACTCTTGCTTTTAATCTAACTTTTTGGCCCAGATGAGGAATGCTGTTATTAGTTGCTCTGAATTGTCTCTGTCTTATGACAACCTTATGTATAAGAGAACAAAGTATTTTCTGGGTCTGTGCCATCTCTATGAATCACTGGCATGTTTGAGCTATTATATAAGTACTCTGTCAATCTGCCTCATCGAGGATGTCCCTTATTTCCCCTGACCTTTTATTTTACCAGACATGATGTCCTTTCCTAGAAATTGGTCTTTCCCAATGCTGTGTCCAAAGCCTCACTGTCTTCACTTTGAGAAGTATTCTGGCTGTGTTCCTTCTATGAGTTATTTGCTTTTACTTCCACCAGTCCATGTGATGTTCAGTGTCCTTTACCATCAATTCTCCTTGAATCCGCCCTTTTCATTCCCCAGCTTTCATATGAAGGTGATGCAATGCAGATGACCATGGCTGGTACACCTTAGGCATCAAAGTGACATCTTTGCTTTTTAATACTTCAAAGAGATCTTTTCTAAAGAACTGATTTTCTCAGTGCAATAGATGGCTTGGGAGTTGATAGTTGATCCAAGTGAAATGAAATTCTTCGCATTGTCAATTCCTTCTTTATTTATCATGATGTTGTTTGTTGGCCAAGTTGTGAGAATATTGATTTTCTTTACATTTAAATTTAATCCATGGATCTTTTACCTCTTTCAAAAGGAGTTCTTCAAGTCACCCTTGACCTGAAAAATCTAGGCCATCCCTGCTAGACAGGGGTGTCCTCCTCAGCACACACCAAGGCTCATCTCAACTGACACAGTGGAAGCAATGTGAATGGAAAGAAGGTAAGAAGGAAGATGAAGATGGGCTTTCCTTCCATCTTAAAGCTATGCCCACCCAGTGTGAGTGTAAGAGAGAGGCTTTTTCTAAGAGAGGGCCTCTTGTTCTATTGTTGGACTGTCTTTTCCTGACAGATCACAGAGTCACAGGTACCCTGCACATGTTCAGGGGCCTCAGGGCAGGGAGAACACTCTGAATGTAGCTGATACAAGAGCAAACAACAAATCAGCTACTGTTCATGAGGCACTTTCTCTGTCTGGTCATTGTATGTCAATTCATCTATTCTCATTACTCTACTGGCAGGTAGCATGCCCACTTGACAGATAAGAAGATGGAGATTCAGGGCCATTAGGGGTTTTGCAAAGCTCCACAAAGCTCCCAAACAGCAGAGCCAGCTTCAAATCCAGAACTAGTTATTCACTCACTTATTTGATAAAGTTGAAGTGTCTACCTGTCCCTGTTCTAGAAGTATTCTAGTGGAGAAGACAGACATGAAACCAACAAAGTTTGAGTATGTATTATAATACCAGCGATTAAAAGGTGTTCCCATTCCAAAGAAAGGTGACCCAACTGAGTGTGGAAACTACAGAACAGTGTTATTGATTTCACATGCAAGCAAGATTCTGCTGAAGATCATCCAAAAACGATTAGAACAGCACATCAGCAGAGAACTGCCGGAAGTCCAGGCTGGGTTTAGAAGGGGTCGTGGTACTAGGGATATTGTTGCTGATGTTAGATGGATCTTGGCTGAAAGCAGAGAATACCAGAAGAATGTCTGTGTTTCATTGATTATGCAAAGGCATTTGACTGTGTGGA